GGTCATCTCAACCATTCCCTGCTCAGAGAAGGACCATCCCAGTCTAAACCATTTCATACAAATGTTTATCTAACCTGCTTTTAAAAACCTCAAGAGAAGAAGATTCTGTAACTCCTCTGGTAACATAGATTCATAGATGTTAGGGTCGGAAGGGACCTCAATAGATCATCGAGTCCGACCCCCTGCATAGGCAGGGAAGAGTGCTGGGGCTAGATGACCCCAGCTAGATGGTTATCTAACCTCCTCTTGAAGACCCCCAGGGTAGGGGAGAGCACCACCTCCCTTGGGAGCCTGTTCCAGACCTTGGCCACTTGAACTGTGAAGAAGTTCTTCCTAATGTCCAATCTAAATCTGCTCTCTGCTAGCTTGTGGCCATTATTTCTTGTAACATGTTCAAGTATTTAACTGCTCTCCTAATTAGACATACAAGGCTCTTTGGGTAAATCCAATATCTTTTATTAGACCAACTCAGATTGTTGGAAGAACTCTTCTTTGCAAGCTTTCGGGTACAATTACCCTTTGTTCAGGCAGAGGAAGCATCTGCAGATGGTCTGTGCTTTACCTGGATGGAGTAGGAAGAGCACAGACCATCTGCAGATGCTTCCTTTGCCTGACATAGCCCCCTTCAGGTAGTTGAAGCTGCACTTCTGTGAAGTGACAGGCAGGGGAGAAGAGGAGGAGTTGCGCTCCATGTAAAAGAGCTGTACGATAGCACAGAGCTCCAGTATGAAACTGGAGATAGACCTGTCGAAGGTCTGTGGGTTAGGGTCAGAGGAGAGAGCAACAAGGGTGATGTCATGGTGGGTATTTGCTGTAGACCACCAGACTAGGGCAATGAGGAGGATGAGGCTTTCTTCAAACAACTAGAGGAAGCTTCCTGGTTACAGGCCCTGGTTTTCATGAGGGATTTCAATTACCATGGCATCTGCTGGGAGGGCAATACACCAGTTCTCACTGATCTTCTCAAGATGAATACCCTCTAAAAAGTTCCCTTTTACAGTACAAGGAGGATTGTACCCACAGGATAAGAATCTTGTTACAGTATGTTGTTCAAATAGTATTAGAATTTAATATTAATGGTCAAAGTTTTGACTGCACAAGTTGGCTTGACATTCTTTCAGATGTGCCATAGGGTGCTGCACAATGTTAGCCCTGTTAGGTGTACAAACATGATGGACAGGATAAACCCAGATTTTTCACAGAGGAATCCACAGTGTTCTGACCTGTTGTGATCTTCCTGGGGTCTTTGCAACGTAAGAATTGCTCAAGAAACCTTACTGAGGATGCAGGAACAAACCATCTTGGTGTTCAGGAAGAATAGCAAATATGGCAGGCGATCAGCTTGGCTTAGTAGAGAACCCTTCAGTGAATTTAAACATAAAAAGGAAGCTTACAGAAGTGGAAACTTGGACGGATGATGTCACAGGCCAGCTGGGCACTGGTGAGTGTATCGATTCTATTGTAGGCCAACTGGGTGCTGCGAGAGTATGCTACTGGGCTGTTCGATTCAGTTTTGGATCGAGGAGGCAAAGTTGGGAGTGAAGCAAAGGCAAATTTATTATAGCTTACACACACAACAGTTAACGGAAAGATAAATGCGATAAGCAGATAATGCAGTATTAACGAGCTAATTGTAAATAATAACAGATAATAACAACAGATAAATGGATCTATTCTGTCGCAGGCCAACTGGGTACGCGCAAGGCAAACGGGGTACTGTGAGGGTATCAGCCACTGGGCTGTTCAAAACAACAGATAGACAGACATGGGTTGGCAACTTATCGATAGTCCCTTGATGCCAGGTGCACGTCAAGTGATTCCAGCGAAGTCAGTCGTCCCCGATCAACGCTGTCGGAGGGATTACTGGGGAAGATCCCTTGATCAGGATCAGCTCTGCAGAAAAGGGCCTAGTGGGTACAGTGGACAGTAAGTTGAATGAGAGCCAACAGTGTGCCCTTGTGGAGAGGAAGGCTAAGAACATACTGGGCTGCATTAGTAGGAGTGTTGCCAACAGGTTGAAAGAAGTGATTCTTCCCTTCTATTCGGCACTTGGGAGGCTACATCTGGAGTACCATGTCCCGTTTTGGGCCCCCACTACAGAGAGGATGTGGACAAGTTGAAAAGAGTCCAACAGGGCACTGGGCTTATTTAGTCTGCAGAAGAGAAGACTGAGGGGGGAGGGGGGGGTATCACACTTATAGGCTCAGTAGTGCTACACTCGCTAGCACCATAGTCGAAAGAGATTTGGGAGTCATGATTGACCATCTGGTGTGATACTGCAGCCAGTAAAGCGAACAGAACTCTGGCTTGCTTCCATCGATGCTTCTCAAACAAGTCCCAGGATGTCATCCTCCTATTGTACTTGGCTTTGGTGAGGCCACAGCTGGAGTAGTGCATCCAATTCTGGACTCCACAATTTAAAAAGGACATGAAGACGCTTGAAAGAGTCCAGAGGAGAGCCATGTGTATGATCAGAGAGCAAGAGCACAGCCTCTCCTCGTAGGGCCTGTTAGCCATGGGACTCTTCAGCCTGGAGAAGTGAAAGCTCAGGGGGTGACTTGGTGGCGGCCTATAAGTACTTAAGGGGTGTGCATCAGGACTTGGGGGAACTCCTGTTCACCAGAGCGCCCCAAGGGATGACAAGGTCCAATGGTTGCAAACTCCTCCAAGACCGTTTTAGACTGGACATAAGGAAAAACTTCTTTACTGTCCAAGCCCCCAAGGCCTGGAATAGACTCCCTCCAGGGTTTGTGCAAGCACCTACTCTGGACTCTTTTACAAAACATTTGGATGCTTATCTTGCTGGGCTCCTTTGACCCTAGCTGACTTCTTGCCCCTTGGGCAGGGGGCTGGACCTGATGATCTTGCAAGGTCCCTTCCAGCCATAATGTCTATGAAATCAGTGAAATTTCTTAATGGTGCCTTTGGAAAGGTGTCAAATACACATGGGAAGGAGATAGAGGGAATAAAGAGAAAAAAATGGGTATAATGTTTTACATTCATGGTTCTGATCCATAATTTTCATTGTATGGATACTGTCCTACTTGGACAGATTTTTAAAACAAGCCCAGCATACTTTTGCTGGGTTCCTTATGAATGTTTTACAAGTTCCCTCTTTAGCTGCTATTTTTTATTTTTCTCTGTCAAAGAATCTACCAGTAAGGCTTTGTTCCATATATTAGATTTAGAAAGGCCACTTGACCACTCTGTACTGGACTCAGCTCTTCAGAAAATCATTACAAGTGAAGCTTTTTGCTTCATTTAACACAAGCATATTGGGTTAGAGGAAGCCTGAAAAGGCTTTCTAGATAGCTATTCTTTTGCACTGTTCATTATTTGCTTTGGTGTGCTTGTTCCTAAAGAGGAATTTCAATTCTATAATTTCAGCAATGCAAACAATCTTTGACTTATACAACTAACAGTAGTTTATGCTTAGGTACTTCAGTGCAAAAAAAACTTACTATTTTATATATATACATTTCTATATCCCACATCTCATTTTCAGAGCTTCTAGTTATTATCCTTGTATTATCTGTACTTTTGCTGCCTGCTTTATGTATGAATGCATCCATTCTCCCCTTTCCATATTGTTATAAAAAAACAAAATTCACTATATACCACACTTTTTTCATTGTTTTACTATGTTGTCATGTCATTCCAATCTCTATTTTATCTATTAAATGCTATAATACATGAATATTGAAAGATAATGAAAAAGTACCTTAACCTGAACATTCTATTTAAAGAAAAATACTTTTAGCTACGATTGGAGATCTGTGGTGGAAATGCTATAACAGAAATTTTCATGAGAACACAAAATTTAACTTGACCTTAAAATCTGTTATATTAAATTGTATATTAAACTTATTTTTGCACCAAGCAATGTAGGGCTTTGTTTTAGTTTTATAGGGCAGGGTGCTTGTACGCATGATGAAAATTGCCTGTTCTTGTAGTTTAATTGCATCACACTTTACACACGTAGGTTTTTTGATCCTGCCCCTTGCTGTGACAGTGACAATAGCCCCTAACTTGAAATGGTGCATTTTTAATCATCACAATTAAAAACCCGCCATTTCAATTTAGGGGACTAAACCCTTTGCACATGAAGAAGTGTCCATACAGTCTGCTTTACAGTAGAATAAAGAAGTTATGCATTAGTCATAGTGAAACCAGCACTATTTGATAACCTAATATACTTGCTCCCATATCTAAATAATGTTAACCATACTGTTGCTTGTAATTTAATTTTTTTTTAAACTTAAGTGAAAACTATGTCTAATAGTTATCCTGTTTACTTATCTTTTGCATGGAATAGGTTTCAGTAGTATGTTTTGGAGCATTATTACGGGGAGAAGAGGAAGAAAAATGATTTTTAAATTCTTACATCATGCATTTATTAACCAGGATCCCTTTTTTGACTATACTCTTCAAAACCTCAAAAATAGTCTTGTTTGGTTTGTTTGTTTGTTTGTTTTTTTAAGAATTTTTTAAATCCTGTTTAATATAGTCTCACACAGGTTCATATATGAGCTCACCTGAATGCTGAGCCATGCACATGATCTATGTAGTTGGGCCCATTGGAATTTCATTGAAGTTGCATATGGGCACTGGTCCACTTGCACAGATATGATGGCTAGACTGAGACCTTGTAGTTTGAATTTTTTTTTCTCTTTGAGTCTTTTAAATAAGTTTTTACTTCATAAGTTTCATCTACAAATGTAATAAATAGTTTGAAGTAACTTCAACAAGAGCTCCAATTTGTGTCTATTTATTTGTGCAAAGTTTACTTAAAAGAAAGCACATTCAAGTATGTGTTCTTGTGTAATTTAACAGTTATCTCCTTTTGCCTTTTTTTTTTTTTTTTTTTTTTTTTTTTTTTTTTTTTTTATGACTCTTAAAGCTGCTGGCTAAACTGCCCCTTTTGAAGTCAGTAGGAATTCTACCACTGGTGAATTCTAGTATAATTTAGAAATTCAAGGTATTTTATTTATTGCTTGCAGAGGTCTTTTTATCACCATCCATGACCATGGGCACATTGCTACAATACTTAAATCCTGGCCTGAAAATGTCATCAAGGTAGGTTCAGTTCTATTTATGTGGTATAGCTGGCTTTGCTGTCTGTAACTGACTAAAATCATTTTGACTGATTATTTTTCATTTAAACTGGATTAAGTGGTATAGCAATATGAATTAGAGTATTTTGGGTTCTTAACTCATTCTTTGATAGAAGGCAGTTTTTCAGTTGCAGCTTCAGACTCATGAGGCTTTTAAAATTGTTTAGATATAGAACTTTTAAGGTTTAATTTCATTATTTGCATCAGAATAGTTGCTATGCATGGATCAATAAAAATCTAAGTGTAATATCTATATATTTTAGGACAGAGAAAATATACTTACATTTTACAGGTGAGGCAATTTGTTATAATACATTCTAATGAAACCTCCTGTAAGGTGTAAGCTCTATCTACTGCTGCTGTTTGGATTTAAAAAGTGTGAAAAAGTCTCTTTTTATCTTAAAACATCTAAGAAATAATTTCCATTTTGAGCTTTAATGTTGAATGTCCACCAATTAATAGTAACAAGGGGTAAATGCAGTACCATCAATACCAATGATAAGAGGCTATTGAAAAATTGAGTTTGATTCAAATTATCATTACAAATTGGGTTTCTCTTTGCTTTTTTATCCTTTTTGCTCTGTTTGTATTACTTCTTCTCTAGACTAGGGAGTTTGGTGCTTATCTGTCTTGGTAAAGCACAGCTTGCAGACATTTAAAAAACCAAAACAACCCCCCCCCCCATTTTACCGAAAGAAGCAGCATGTTATTTTAACCCAACTCTGCATCATCTATATATGCACAGGCACTTCAGCAGGGCTTTTTGGTGCTTTTATCTAAAACTGAATACATTTTAGATGAAAGCACCAAAAAAGCCCTACTAAAGTGCCCAGTCTATACAGATGTTGGCCAACTGGGTCCAGCTAACACACTGCCTCTTCTGGCCATGTGCTGGGCTCGGCACGGGAATGCCGTGTTTAAAGTGCTTTAGATTAAAATGCTGTTCTTTTGGGTTTTTTAATGTCTGCAAGACCTACATTATTGAAGCTCCTGTATATACAGTAGTAGCATTTACTGTTTTATTCTATTGATATGTATTTTGAAGTTGCTTTCCATTTTAGTCTAATTTTTAAAATACTTGTTGATTTGAAAAAGTTAAAATCCTCTTTCTTGTCAAGAATTTGCTTTTTGTTACTTTTTTATCTGGTGGCCGTATAGTCAAGGTTAAGCAGTGCTTGTATAACATGGAAAACATGTATAGATACTTTTTATACTGTTTAAAGCCACTTAGAACAACTTGAACAGCTGCTGTTTTAAAAACAAACACTGAAATAGTTTAATGAGGAAAGATAGTAGACCAAATGTCTATGTAAACAGTGTATTTACAAGGTAACAGAATGCCCAGTATTTAATTTTTATGAAGTTTGCTTTACTGTAATAAATTATATTTACAAATGTCCAAGTTGTCCTTTTTGAGTATAATGCATTAATTTCATCATAATTCGAATCATCTCAGTGGAAATATCTGGCGTCCATTACCTTGTTCCTTAAACTGTCCATTGTCACTATTAATAGGAGGATGTTAGATGAAAGATTTGGTTCATAGCTAATTTGTAATCTAAATTAAATCAGCTTTATTAAAGAAAATGTTAAGGAATTCCCTTATAATTTTAAACAAAGGTGATCTAGAACAGAACCGAGTAATGATGAGTTATTCAAAACTGTATGTAGGTAGGTGGGATGTATCAGCTATCATCCATAGTGATCTTTTTCCTAAGAGTTCTGTATAGCTCTGATTTATTTCCCTGTACTCTCTTTGTTCTGCAGAGCATGTATATCACCCTATAAATGCTAAAAGAAGCTTTTTAAAAAAACATTTGTGAGCTGAAGGTTCTGTTAATGTTAGTCATACCTCATCATGAATATTCAAGCGTTATGAGAGTCTTGTTCAGCTTTCTACAGCTACCATTTTAAAATAATTATCTAATTGCTTACCCAGAAGCAGGTTTAACATTTTATTTCCCATGACACTGTATCCAACTGCAAACTTTTTTTCTTTGTCCCCCTTATCTTTTCTGCATAGTTTGGCACAATAGCACACCTTCCTATTTTTGAAGCTCTTGAACTCACTGAACAATTCCCTGGAGAAAATATTTACCATATTTACTTCAATCCGGGACAAGGTTCCCTGCCTTTTAACATGGCAGGTGGGGAAAAGCCCCTTGTTTGGGATTTGAGTACAAGGCAGCAGGGAGGGAGGCAGCTGTTTTGGCTCTTACTCTAGCCCTGACCCAGGATTGGAGTCAGAGTTACAGCTGCTGCCTGTGCCCCTGCCTGCTCCCTCCCACTGAATCTGCCCCTTCCCTACCTCCCCCCCCAGCTGCCACTTACCCTCCACCTCTGACACAGCATTGGCCCCTGTCCAGCATGGAGCATGCAGTTGCTGTAGTCTGGCCTGGTAGCAACAGTGGTGGTGGCAGCAGCTCTGGCCCAGGCTCTGTTTCTGGTGCTAGGCTGGAACTGCCATTGCTACAAGAGATGCTGCTTGGCTGGGCTGGGACTGGAGCAACCATGTGTTCCATGCCCTGGGCTGGAGAGGAGCCAGAGCTGTGCCAAAGCCAGAGGGTAAGTGGTGGTTGTGGGGCAGAGGCAGTGAGGGTGGAGGCCAGGCAGGGTGTTGCAGTGCAGGCACAAGGTGGGCCTGGTGACAGGGGGTGCAGGCACAGTGGGACAAGTGGCAAGGGGGCAGGAGCAGGTACCTTCGGGGAGGCAAGCACTCGAGCATGCAGGCACTGGGATGGGTGTGGGGGGGGGAAAGCTAACAGCAAGGGGCAGGGGTGAGGCCACTTGATTCTCCCTGCTGCCTGTCCTCCCTGACACTGTTTTCCCTGTAGCCACAGTGCAGGGAGGACAAATTAGTAAGTTGACTTTCCAATAATTAGATTCAATACATGGAAACTTATAAGAAATGTATTTATAAATTGTTTACATATGGAATCTAATTATTAGGGGGTTGTCTTGAATACAAAGACCTCTTGGATTTGGGTAAATATGATATCGAGTCTTTGATATTATACCAGTATTTTGATTTTCTTTTTCTAATTCAACACCAGTATGACTTGAAAATCAAATCCAGTCCCAGTGGGACATATTTAACTTACAATTCTGTAGGCTTTATTACTTGAGGCATTATTAAACTTTACTAGAAGTTGAAGAATCCCTCTCCTAAACTTAAGAAAGGCAGCAACAAGTAGTGGAGGTTTAGATTGGATATTTGTTCTTTTGACTGCATAATATTCAGTTTTGTTCTCTTATTTTTGCTTTTAATTAAAAGACACGATGAGCCAAACTATCACCTTTTTTTTATTTTCTGCATTTTGTACTAGTATGGCCAGAAAATTAGATTTGCTGTGTAACTTTTGGTTTTGTCCAATTTAGTTTATTAAAACTTTGAAATTAGTTAATATACTTTAAAATCCTCAAAAACTTAAGCTTTAATCAGAAATTGTTGAATTGCATAGATGCACAGTTTGTCTGATGCACACACATGGGGAAACTGGGATGCTTGCTATTGGGAGGCATGCTAATGCCCAAATGGTGACTGTTCTACGTCTTTGGTAGCATAGTGTGGACACCCCTAAACAGAGACAACTGTGAGCCACTTCCCAATTCGTGATGTTCTTAGACCAGTTATGTCTGTTTACACTTTCACTGTTCTGGCCAGAAATTGCAACATGACCCAGCAGAAAAGGATGGTTCACTTTTCCCTTGCTAAGTCAAAGATGTACAGGAGAAAAAAAACAGTCCTGGGAATGCAGCATTGAACCCCTGTATGATAGGTGATACTTGCTTCATTCTTAGAGGATTAGCACAGAAACTCCTGTTTGAAGGAAAAAAAGTTTAAATCTGAGAATTGAAAATATAACTAAATGTAATTAAAAAAAATCAGGACTTTTACTCTGCTCTGTTTTAATTTATAGATATAATGCCTTTTTCATTAAAAAACAAACAAACTTCAGCTTCTCAAAAAAAATAGTGCTTGTGTGTACTTAGTGTTTCAGAAAAGAAGTCACTTGACAGTATTTTAATTTTTCCTTTCAAGGCTATTGTGGTGACTGATGGAGAACGCATTCTTGGCCTTGGGGACCTTGGCAGTTATGGAATGGGCATCCCAGTTGGCAAACTGGCACTTTACACTGCTTGTGGAGGAATGAAACCTCAGGAGTGTCTGCCTGTAATGCTGGATGTGGGAACAGATAATGAGGTAAATACTTTCTAGAGGTGCCATTTAGTATATTGATGTTTTAAGTAATTGACTAAACTGAAGAATTGAATTTACCCTGGAATTTTTTTACAAGGTACACATAAAGAGTTTAGGAAGCAGGTCTTACTCCCTCTTTATTTTTCCCTCTGTAAACAACTATATGCACAGCAAATAAACTGGACAGTTTAATTGTTTTTGTAGTTTTCCTTAATCAGTTTTTCAACACGTGAAATAGATCATGCATAATGGAATCTTTCTTCTGATGGTTCATTACACTGAGAGTGCTCAGTTCAGCTCAGCTGACAGGAAGGCTGATACAGGACCCTTAGTGGGGAAATTTCATCAGGCAACTGAGCCTTCCCCTCATAGGAGGGCCCAGGTGGTCAGTGGAGCCCCCCAAAATATTGCTCTGCCTTTGAAGAGAATGTCTATTCACTTTATAACCTCCCCTTCATGGCAGTGTTATGCTCCCTAGGAATTCAAGTGGCCCTCTAAGAACTACCACTTTCCTCTTCAAATAGTGTACATAGCTATGGGGAAAGTAGCTCTTGTTGGCACAGAAGAATGCTCTTTTCAACTTTTTGTGCTAACTAGAAATAAATTTGGCCTGCTATGACTATCCTCTAATGATGCCCACATTTACTACACTGTCTTCATGAGCAAAGGTCCTATTTCATAGAATAAAAATTGTAGCTTTTTAAGAGGTTGTCTAACCTAGTTGAGGTGGGGAGACTTTGACTTGGGGAAACATTGGGACACCTATCATCAATAGGCTTCAGCCTTCCCTTTTCACTCGGGTTTTCAGCCTTGGGGTGTTCCAGGTTGCTCTGCTGCATCTGGATCTGGTGGTGGTGGTGGCTAACAGTGCTTTTTGCTAATTCCATCTGGTGAGAAGTCTACAGTGCTTTGTTTCAGGCTTGTATCTGGCCATTATCATTCATGCTTTAGTAACCTCAAGGCTAGGCTATTGCAGTATGCTTTATACGTGGGGCTGCTTTTGACTGTTGAAAACTGTAGCTGGTGCAGAACCAGTGGCCCATCTTCTGATAGAGGTGGGTTGCCAGGAACATATTACTCCCGGGGCTCCACAGTCTGCACTGGTTTCCAGTAGCTTTTCTGGTGCAATTCAAGGTGTTCTTGACTACTCGTGGTGCCTGACCTTTTTGCCTCACTGATCAGATGAGTGGTGCCAGATCTCTCTGCAGGCTGGGTTCAGGCATACAAGGTAGGTGTAGATGGGGTCCTATCTGGGCACATACAGCAATGGCCCAGGCCAGGGCCCAATCCAGCTATGTGCAGCTTGGAAATTGGGTAGTAGGGAAGGTAGTGGCAGTTTTAATTGACACCTCTCCCCACCAAATTTCTGCACCTGTGAGGAGCCCTGCAGGCTGGATGACAAGACTTTCTGGGCTGGATATGACTTACATGCCAGGAATTGATTTACCCCTGCCCTAAGTGATCTAAGCCCTATGTGCCTAAAGAACTGCCTTCTCTCTTTTGTCCTACTGTGATCCCCGAGTCTTCTGCAAATACCATTAATAAGTCAAGCTCCCTTAACAAAAACACATGGGAGGTTGTTCTCGGCAGTCTCTTCTAAGTTCTGGAACTTCTCCCCTCCTGCCTGCCCCCCATTAGCCCCACCCGAACATGATCCTGGACATCTTCTGTAAACGCTGTAACACCCCTTTTTGGGCAGGTGTCTAGCAAGCAAGGCTAAGCTGGGATATTATGTAGGGGTGTTTTATATTTTATTTTAATGTTCTATTTGTTTTTTATAAGTTGGTTTCATCTCTTGTTTTGTTCTTGTGCTTGTTCTCTTGTTTTTTTTAATTATTTTGCTCTTACTGTAAGTTGCCCTGAGCCTTTGGGAAGGACAGCAGATAAAATTAATAAATAAATAGTTTAATCTAGGTAGGCTCTACCTAGGCCATCCATGAGAGAGTTTTCTTTAAACTTATTTTTAAAAATGTAAAGGACTCTACAACCCTTCTAGGTAGCCAGTATATGGAAATAGTTCATTGTAACCTCCAATCTCTTCCTTTCTTTTTTTTCTCCTAAACCAGCAGATTCAAACTGGTGGGCAGGATTCCTTGTGAGGCATGTCTGAGAGGAAAAGGTATCCAGGAAAGCTGATTATTAAGACCTTATTAAGGGAATGGGAGCAAACTATTAGGCCTGTGTGAATAGGGAAGTATTCAATTCAGATTCGGCCAATTTAGAGGACTGATTCAATTTGGAGATTTGTATTGCTGTCCCAAATCGATTCGGCTGAATCGGCTTCAGAAGATTCAGTGCCGATTCAGAGATCAGGCCATAGACTATAATGGGGAATCACTGAATACCTATAACTTTGTCATTTTTGGGCAGATTTGGATGAAAACAGTAGGAATGCTAGTCTTCTCTGAGGGCATGAAGGAGATAGGTGGAGGGATTTCTAGGAAACTATACCTCAAACTGCTGAAAGCAAAACTCGTGTCACTTGTGTGTTTTTAAGGCAGATCTGGATGAAAACAGCAGGGATGGTAGCTTGTAACAGGGGGCCTTCCCGGTGCCAGTTAGATCTCTGCCCACCCACCTGTTTCTGGGCTAGCTGCCTGCCCCTCTTTTGCTCAGGCAGACAGCTCACAAAAGGGACAGAGAGGCTGCAGACAGATGCTTATGTGCTGTTTCTGTGTTCCTCCCCCAGAGCACTGTGATTGGAAGGGGACAAGATCACAGTCACTGGCTAGCTACAGATGTCGGTTTTCCCCCTCCCACCACCCCTTGTTCCCCCTTCCTTTTCTCAGTTTCATAGTTTCATAGTTGGGACCTGAGCAGATCATCAAGTCCGATCCCCAGATGCTTATGTGCTGTTTCTGTGTTCCTCCCCCAGAGCACTGTGATTGGAAGGGGACAAGATCACAGTCACTGGCTAGCTACAGATGTCGGTTTTCCCCCTCCCACCACCCCTTGTTCCCCCTTCCTTTTCTCAGTTTCATAGTTTCATAGTTGGGACCTGAGCAGATCATCAAGTCCGATCCCCTGCTACGGCAGGAAAGAGCACTAGG